CACCAGCCCCAGTCCATCGCAGAGTTTTGGGTACGTCGTCCTCACCGTCTCCTGGTCGATCATGTCTATCCGAGCAACCAGTTTGAGCCTCACTGAAGCTGGCCTGCTCAGTAGCCCGACGTGTAGGTCTCTGAGATGTAGATCCTCTCTGTGGTGCTCCTGTCCTTGTAGGTGAGTGTTTCGGTGACTGATCCTAGCACATTCAACTTTGCACCACCAGGGCCATACAGCTGTTTCATGGCGGCTTTAACGTCTTTGGCACCGGGCATGGTATTTTTGTATACTGTCTCTGGTATGGCTGTTACATCGGCGCCCGTGTCTATTTTAAAAGTCACTTTTCTGCCCTGTAAGCCTATGTCAGCCATCCATGGATCTTCACCCGAGGACACCTCACCTAGAAACAGTCCATCTGTGTCCTCGGCTAACTCATTCACAGAGCTGATGAGTCTGCATACCTTGCCGTAGTGCCCTCTTTTGCCGCAGCTGTGGCATTCAGCGTTCCGAGCCGGACACTGAACCGCAGGATGAGATGGTGATTTTCCACATTTGTGGCATGCCTTGTTTCCCGTCGCCGTGTGAGTCGCTGCTTTTGCTTTTGCATGTCCCGGTTTAAGCCCTTTAGCTTTTAATTGCGTCGCGTTCCACTGCTTTCCTTTTGCTTTGTGCAGTGCATCCACAGCTACTTTGCTAGCAGTGCTCATTTCCCCCCTCAGGTCCGTCTGCTGGCGCCGAACTTCTTCCGACTGCCTGGCCATGGTGATCGCCTTGGTGAGAGTGAGTTGGCTATACAGCTGCATTTTCTGAGACAGTGCTGTGTCTCTAATGCCCACCACCAATCTGTCTCGTAGCAGTTCATCATGTAGGGAACCATAGTTGCAGCGTTCTGCTAGGGCATAAAGTGCTGTGAGGAATGCGTCGACTGATTCGGTAGGTTGCTGTACTCGTTGGTTAAACTTAGCATGTTCATAAATAACGTTTTTCTTCGGGACGAAGTAACCGTCAAATCCCTCCTTCACTGCATTGTACTGCAAACGCTGCTGCTGGGTTAGCACTAGCCCTCTTAGCACGTCGTCCGCCTCATCACCCATGCAGTAAATTAGCGTGTTAACTTGGTTAGCCTCTGAAGAACAGTTCAAATTACTTGCCAGCCGGAATCTCTCGAAGCGACGAATCCATTTCTCCCATTCGTGCGGTTTAGAAAAGTCAAACGGTTCCGGTGGCTTTATGGTAAACGTTGCACACGGTATGCTAGCCGCTCCTTGGCTTTCCGTTACAGCGTTAGCCATATAACGGTCTGTAACGTTAGCATCTTCGTGGTGGTCCCCCGACGCTTCAACGTTCCCCTGCTGCTGCTCTCGCTCACTCATACTCGCTTGATGTCTCCTCTGTCGCCGTCTGGCACTAGATCCTGGCATTCACGCTGTCTCTTGTCCGCAGGTCGTGAAGTCTACACTTCTGACACCATGTTGTGTGATTCAAAGTAAACGTTGAAAGAAAACACGGGACAACCAGCGTACGTTTCTGTTCAACTGTATTGAATAACTGACGTTCTGATACAATGCTCTGCCTTACATACCAAGGGACTCAGGTTCCCTCCAGTGGTCACATTTGGTATTACACATGCAGGTCTTATCACATAAACACTGGTTAACATCACAGGCGTAGGTTTGCATAGGGACCATAGGGACATGTCCCTACCAAAATTTTGGAAGGACCCATTTGTCCCTACCAATAATTGGATGTGAACAACATGTTTATAATTTACTATACAGCAGCCGCTTCTTTTCCTCTCGCAGCTTCTCTGCCTGGTAGCTGCAGCTGCCTGCTCTTTCCTGTCCCTTTCACATAGCAGCGCATCAACTGTGCTGCGCGGTTTAACTCACTGATTATTCTGCCTTAAAGGCACACTATGCAACATTTTTCAGTTAATTAATGTGTTCCATAACGTTTTGGATGATTAAATGAGTAATTTCAGGTTGAACAAAGGTATTCTCGGCCGCCCTGGTGGTCTGTGGGGGAAATACCGTACTTGCAATTGCAGGAGCACCGACCCGCACCCACAGGCTCAGAATTCTCGCGAGAGTCGGTCTTGCTTTATAGCGAGAACTGCTACACGCCCCAGTTAAAAGCATGCTCGTTGCTAGCACAGTGGCGATCTTTGTGCAGTTAGTCATTCGTTGCGTTCGCCTGTCTGCTAAGCTCAAAACAACCGCGCCTGGCTTGACGGAGAAACCAGGAGAACAGCTGTGCATATTTACGACAGTGCACTTTTACTTTCGCCCTCTGGGGGGAGCCTCGCTGGAAAATCAACACCGGTTGCATAGTATACCTTTAAGTTCCGCCTTCTGTCTTTCTGATTGCGTGTTTTCTAGTCTGTATGTGCGCGCGCGCGGGTGCTTGGAGCGCGAAAAAAAAGACGCTAAAATAAATTAATATTGGGCTACGAAACTAGTCCAAATTAAAAAAAAATATCATCTACGCTAAAACAGGCGAAAGCTTCTGATTGGAGTTCTGTAAAGAAGCAGGAGAGAGTTTTTTGATTTGTGGAACTTGAGAAATGTAAGTTAACAACGTTAGGATTTCTTTTATTTTATCTTTTAATCAGATAGCCAAAGGCTCCTTAAAGAAGATCTTTTATGAAATGAAACCAGGTGAAACGTTTAAACGTTTCCTTTGGAGGAGTTCTGGATGGAGAATATTGACAGACAAAAACTATTTTTTTTTTTTACTTCTTAAATGCTAATATTTTTTTTACAATCTTGGTATAATTCCTGCTCTAAGTGAGTCACTCTGTCGGCTAAAGGCACATTTTAGTGGCCCTATACTCCAGTTTACGATTAAACAATTACTAAATTAGTTCACGATTATTTAAATAATTTGTTAATATGATTAATTGTTTCAGCCATAGATAAAATACATGAAATTAGCTACACAGAGTAACTACAGCCCAGATGTACAACTTCTAATATTAAAGGAATAGTACACCCAAAACATGATTAGCCTTCATTTTCTACTCACCCCCATGCTGAACAACACTCTGGAGTACTTTTTTGATATCTCAAATGCATCTGGAGATCTGGGAGGCTTCTTGCTGTCTGCTGACATTCAAATAATGGAGGTCTATGGCGCCCGAGGCAGAAAGGTCCAAAAAAGTCCACAAAAACGTGTCAATATTCCTCCATACTGCTCGTCCAATGTAATCCAAGTGTCCTGAGTGGGTAGCATCCAGAATTTACTCGAAACGAAGTCATTTAGAACGTTTTAGAGCCTAAACAGTAGTGTATAGGATTTCCTAATAGCGCCCCCATGCGCGCTCACGATTCTACGGAAGCCGGCAGACCAAACCGGAAGAAAGAGCGCATTCAGCGTCTGCTCTGCCGATAATGCAAGCGTAGAAGAAGAAATGTGCTGTTTACCTGTGCAAAGAAAGAAACAACGAAAGAAAAATGTCTGAGGACTTCAGTGTTGAGGAAAAGCAGGAGTTCTTTGCCGAGCCTTTTCTCTATGAACCAGAATACACAGATGACGAACTTAGAGACATGGATGAGGCAGCCGCAGCTCAAGCTGAGCCGCAAACACCGTTGTGCTACAGACGTAGAGCGTCAGAAACGTGGTGTAAATGTGGAAATTGTCAAGCAATGCCAACAGAAGAGGAGAGCATTTGCTGTGTGGACTGGGACTTGTTGATGCCACCACTGGAGGATCTAAATATCTCCACTGATGAGACCGAGAGCACTAGCCAAAGACTTTGTGTCACCCAAAACACGGATTATCCACCATTACTGACCCGTGGCGTTCTGGAGATGTTTTTCCATGTGCCCAAAATCAATTGGAAAAAGAGGTCAAGACCCGCAGGACCAAACAACACGCTCTCTGCAGAGTAAGTTTTGTGCAACAGGCCTATGCCTTGCTAATAATATTATATATATCATATATATATATATGATATATATATCATATATATATATATATATATATATATATGATATATATATCATATATATATAGATACATAATGTTAATGGTACTCACTGTGCAGTTTTTTGTATGTGATGCTAGTACTAAAGTCTGTTTACTCAGCATCTTACCCAGCTTGTGTCCTGGATGAGATGCTTTCTTTTTCACTTGTATTGCTAAAATAATGGCTCCATTTTACCCCTCCCCCAGTCAGTACAGGTTGGTGGCCTACCGTGTGGTACTCGAGTGGATTCTGAAAGGCGAGAGACTTGGCAAGGACAGCAGAAGAGTTTTACCTGCCTGTATTGTTACAAGCATCCATCCCAGCTACCCTTCACCAGATGGAGTGTATACTGGTTTCAAGGAGGCAGAGGCAGCTTTTGAACAGTTGTAAAGACTATAAACAAATCCTAAGAGACTCTTCCATATTAATTTGTACTACTTCATTATATTTCATATTTTTTCCTAAATCACAAACCTATACTGCCTCATTATAGATAACATTTCAGAATTTATGTAGCCGATAACTGTAACCTTTCCTGTACTATTGTGTTGTTTTGGAAATAAACAAAATGACTTTGGATGGTAAGAAAGATGTAACTCTGTTCCTTTGATTAAATATTTATTCTAGACCTAAGTGTGAAATGCAGACAAACCAACCACAGACACATGCCATTTTATTTAAAAATGTCATGTCATAACTATATTAAGTAAACCCCTTATCAGACTCTGTATCCCAGAATTTTGAAAAAAAAAAAAGGTTAAAATTACATGCCACCAGCTAGACTTTTTATTTGCATAAGTACAAATATAAAAAGGCAAGAGTAAAAATACTGCACCACTCAGACTAACTGCTGTATCGGGAAGTATGTTTTTGTATGGCTTCCTCTTTGGCAGGTTTTGGTTTCTGAGCAATGTTTTCTGGTATGGGAGGGATAGAAACATATGACTGGGGGTCTTTGATCTTGATGTTGGGGTCCAGGCGTCTCCGCACAACTTGCACCACCAGATTTTGCCGGAATGTTTGTGTTGTTGGAACATAGATCTTTTTGGCAACCCATTCTTTTGTTTGTCTTGGGTAAACCACATTGAACCGTGCTTGTCCTAAAAAACAAAGAAGAAAATGTAAGACAGAGGAAACATTAATGAAATAACATAGCTATTATAAAGCATTCAAAAAGTTTCGGTTTTAGGTTTCAAAAAAGGAACCAAGAAATTGTATCCAAATAATTAGGAATCTGGTACTTGTAATTTTGTGGTGGTGAGAATTAGGACCATAAAGTACCATATTTGTTATGCAGATCTTAGTGCAGCAGCTCACTAAACAGGTGCGGTTCCCATTGAAGGTTAAATGTAATGTTTGCTGTTTTTTCAATACAGCTCATTTTGAGGACATAAATGAGTATATGACACTGAGCAAAGCGCACAAGGTTAGGTTTTTTTGTTTTGAAGATACTTTCTTGTTACCTGTGTTGGTGTAGGCCTGTTCACGCTGAACATTTTCATTGTGGTCCATAACGGCAAGCTGGGTGCGAGCTTTCATTGTTGAGTAGTGGAAGTGCAGTCTCTTCTCTGTGTATTTCAGCATAGATGCATGGAATACTTCAAGCTTCCCTGAGAAAACATAATATCAATCAATCAATCAATCTTTATTTCAGACACAAAAGAGGTCCATAGTAAAAACAAAAGAAAACAAAAGAAAAAGAAAACAAAAAGAAGCATGACATGATGCATGATCAGTTATTATTATCATAACTTTATGTTGCCTAAATGTGAAGAATGTGATGTTACTCACATCAGGGTCACCTCCACAAGTGGAACAGGCGTACCACAAGTGATTGCAGATGGATTTTATCCATGGTTGCAGGTTGTCCTTTTTGTTGGATGCTGACAGCAATTTTTTCATTAGCCCTACCAAAAACAGAACAATCGTCAATGAGTCTCAAGCAAGCATAAAATATGGCAACTGGAGTAAACGTGTGAGTAGAAGATGTTTTGTCTCTCATCCAAGAAACTTATTCCTTTATAAAATAGTCTGGTTGGGGAGTACAAGAAATGTATTCACCAGGTGTATGGTGGCAACGTCACTGAGGTGGCACTAATCTTTAGACAGGACATGTTGTTCATACAGGTGGATCAAAGAGTTTGGGAAGGATCAAGGGAACCAGGTGTTAGAGACAATATTGCTTTGTTGTTTCGAAAAAAAGAAAGGAGTGTGAGCTTTTTAAAATATTTAATTTACCTTCTGGGATAAATAAAGTATTTTTCATTTAATTTAATTTTAACGACAATGGGGAGCTCAGGGCTCAGAGAGTGTAGGTGATTGGAGATGTACAGTCCAAACAGACTGCACTTCTGCACATGGGTGACGTCAACATAGTCTTGGTGGGTATGAAGTACAAGGTGGGAGCAGGTAATAGAGGAGTGTGGGATCACAATGGGGCTGTGTATAACCTAGGCAGGTGCCAGCGCTTTGGCAAGGGAGGGGTAAATTATGTAAAAGTTTATGTGGCTGTACAAGGGCTATCCAAAGTATATTGTAAAAACATTTTCCTCATTATAGTAATTCCTTTACCATTGTACATTTACAAATTACAATTTGTCAGCTTACCCTTGACAACATGCCAGATGTCAAACTCATGGTGGATTTCCGGATACTCTTCGCGCATAATTTTTCGTATAGATGGTGATCGGTCAGTGGTTACCACCTCCACTTCAAGACCTTACTCAAGGAGATAATCAAGTCCTCTCCTGAACCCCACTGGCTCCATGGCAGCAGAGCTGGATGCCTCTGTCACCTGTACCACAAAACAAAAATTTAATGTTTAAAATCATTTTCATACATCTTTGATGGGACAGTGCTTGTCATAATCCGATAGCAACATTGATTTTGTAATATGTTCCACATATTACACATACATTTATTTACTTCTTTAATTTCATTCCGCACATGATGAAAATGAGAAACATTACCCCAAAAAAAAGGAAGAAAAACAATATAATAAATGCACCAAAATTGATAATAAATACAATAGATAATAATAATATTAAAAAAAAAGATACAATAAAAAAAGAAAACTGAAAATAGATAAATATAGAAATTTAAAAAATAATGTAGGCTACATTTATCAAATTGAAGAACGAAAACGAGTGGGATTAAGTACAAAACCAAATTCAATCCCACCCTCTAAAAAAAAAAACATATACATAGATCACAGTCTTCCGCTTCACAATTATTATTTGCCAATTAGAATGACCAAAATCCAAATAAAACTACAAAATATATGCATATGTATCTTTGTGCAGTCAATTTGTAAACACACAATTGACAATTGTTCTCATATTATGTTGTAATATGAAATATGAAATAATAATTTCCCTTACCTGCACTAACTGAAAAAGGATTATTTCATTTGTTGTGTCCTCCATGAAGCTGTAGGTGTTGTATTTTGCGGAGAAGCCTGGGCTGTAAAGACAAAAAGATAAATATTATTTATTTATTTATTTATTTATTTATTTATTTATGTATTTTAAATCATGGATCACATTAGTATTTCCCTGGGTGCTAAAAGTTGAGTTATTATCATCCAGATTTTTATTTTTTATTAACTCCTAAACACTAACAACTTGCAGGCCATCAATGATCACATTGATTGATCACAAAATTAATATAATGTCACACTGAGCTGTGGAGCGGGTGTTTGTCAATAGGTGGGTTGTACATACATACAGTGTAAAAAAAATCCGTATGATAACAAAGCAACTAAAATAACATGACTTGTAAAAAATTCCATGATTGTCCAAATTGATGTGGAAGTTAACATTTTTACTCAAGTAATATTAGCGTGTTTTAACATTTTAACGTTTTTTAAAAAAGTACCGGTAAAAATACAGATCATATACAAACGTGTAAGTTACATAAATGGTTTATAAAGTACATACCTCTGTCCTTAGTTGTGACACCATCGGCACAGCTGTACTCTTTAATAAAGCTCTTCCTTTACAGGTTCGGAAATCATCCGCTGAAAAGTGTTCACTACAGACACGGAGAGAATCCACGTTAGCTGTCCTTAGATCTTTTCGTAGAGCTATTAGCCACAGTTTTAGCCTTTCAGGGTCCCGAAGAGGTAATTTGTGGAAAGTTACGGAATGGGTTATTCCACACTGCCGCTTCATCTGATTGAAGCATCCAGGATAGGAACACACTCGAACCATCTTCTTAATTTCACGACTAAAATCACTAATCAACAACTTTTTCAAACTCTGAGAGAGACTGACCTCGTGCTCACCTGGCTCAGGGCAGAAAATAAACAGGTGAAAAGCGGAACTTCTTCTTCTACGCTTGCATTATCGGCAGAGCAGACGCTGAATGCGCGCTTTCTTCCGGTTTGGTCTGCCGCGGTTTCCGTAGAATCGTGAGCGCGCATGGGGGCGCTATTAGGAAATCCTATACACTACTGTTTAGGCTCTAAAACGTTCTAAATGACTTAGTTTCGAGTAAATTCTGGACGCTACCCACTCAGGACACTTGGATTACATTGGACGAGCATTATGGAGGAATATTGACACGTTTTTGTGGACTTTTATGGACCTTTCTGCCTCGGGCGCCATAGACCTCCATTATTTGAATGTCAGCAGACAGCAAGAAGCCTCCCAGATCTCCAGATGCATTTGAGATATCAAAAAAGTACTCCAGAGTGTTGTTCAGCATGGGGGTGAGTAGAAAATGAAGGCTAATCATGTTTTGGGTGTACTATTCCTTTAATATTTTAAATGCTCAGTGTCAGTTCCTCTTATAGTTCCAGTGCACATGTAAATATAATACATTTATTTTCTGTCCCTTGAATGTATTATTTTGCATGATCCAGAGAGAGCATATCAGATAAAAAAAAAAATAGAGTGGGTTTTACCTCTGCACAATTCTCTATCTTCAGAAGAAAACACAGGATAAATCCACATATTATAGACTATATTTGGTTAAACAGACACTGTCTTAGTCGCAGGTAAATTTAAATGCAATCCTTTTCAAAGTGGAAAAAGTCCTAATTCCACATTCATCAGAGCCAGTGATGCTTTAAATATTGATAAACAGCATCTAGAGCATGTAGTGCTTATAAGATTTGTATTAATGTAGCAAGAAATGCTGCTGTTCTCTTTAAACAAAATGAGCCCTGAAGCTCACATTAAGCATCAAAAAGAGCATGCATATTTTTTGCAAAGGACCAATGAAACTGAAGAATAGTGTCCCTACCAAAGTTGGAATCAAACCTACGCCCTTGGATCTTTATATTGGAGAAACCAAACAACCTCTCCACAGACGCATGGCCCAACACAGGAGAGCGCCCTCCTCTGGACAAGACTCCGCAGTACACCTTCACTTGATGGACAAAGGACATTCTTTGGAGGACCAGAATGTCCATATTCTGGATAAAGAAAATAGGTGGTTTGAGAGAGGCGTGAAGGAAGCCATCTATGTTAAGAGAAAAAAACCACCTTTAAACAGAGGTGGTGGACTCAGATTCCAGCTTCCAAAAACATACAATTCAATCATAGACATGATCCCTTCCAGATATCACCAAACCCCCCACCCCATCACAGAGGAACGAGGGACCTACCCGCTCCAGCCGGTGAACAATACCTCCTTAACGACCAACCCTTAACAATCATAGACAGGTTTCAGGTATTACAGGAGACAATCCCCCCCCTTTTAACGACCGACCCTCAGAATAATAGAAACAAACGACCCATTGATCAGTTACCATTTGCATGTTTCCAAGCGATACAAATATAGACTCACTGCGGATCCAGACATTTGAATCGAGAAAGCTTCCTGGAGAGGTGGAGAAACGTCTTCAAATCTTGAAAACCAAGTCCAGTGGATATTTTTTGAATTTTTACGGAATGACTATGACCTGGATGACTGAGAACCTTCATCAACAGTTACTTTGTTCACTAGAAACTGATTTTTTCAGTTTTTTTAATCGATCAGGTAAAACTTCGTCGGTCATTAGACACTCTAACGCTACAGAAGCTCCTGATTCTGCACACTGATGCTGCGTGACGTTATTATCGTTGCCTTGGCAACCGCAATGTTTACATCATGTGGCAACGTTCAGCCAATCATGTAGCGTAACGTCACTGGCAGGAAGCAGGACCCGAGCAGATCTGGTAGCTACAGCGTCACTATCAGCTAGCAGCGTTAGCTTCCTTCTCTGTTCTCGTTCTCCATCGTAGAGAGGCTGATAATCTGGGAGTGTTTGCAGTGAGAATGTCTTCAGTCCAGCTTCAAGGAGAGTTTATCACCGAGCAGTTAACTCCTGCTGAAGAAACATTCACGGAGTTTAAAGGGAGTTTGGTCAATATGGAGGAAAAGATGGACGATCAACATCTACTGCTGGATTTCACCAGGATCCCCCAGATCATCTTACACCGGATAGGTAGGAAACAGCTGATAGAAACGATTCCCTGATGATGCACTCTGAGGATTTTAGCCTCATCTGATTGGAAAACCGATTAGATGAGATCAAGATGCTAAGCTAAAGCTAACATCCGGTGTTATACATTAACTGGTTGTGGCTGCTGGAAACCGCTGATGTTTGTTAGAAACAGGTGGCTGCGTCGATGCCTGTCTAAAAATGCTTCCAATGTAAATGAACCCGTTTACAAAATGTCGGTAATCCACCGCGGTGAAGTTAGTTTTACGTTGGATATTCGACAGAAATTTGCTCCGGTTAAACCTCTTATTTGCTCCGCTACAACACTTCAAGCGCACCCGTATTATAGACCTTATTAAATACCATTTATTCTCCAGTTTCATATTGTTAAAACACTTTACAGTATCTTATTGTTTATATTTTAACTCTTCCC